TTTTTTTTGCTCATCTGCAAAATGGTGCGATCTGTTACTCAAAATCTGATATGATAATGAAATATGATCCGAGCCGTGGGTATTGTGATCCGTTGCACCCCTACTCTCTTGACTTGTTATTTGAAGAAAAAAAGCAATCACTGAAGTTTTGCTGATTTGATTAGATGCTGATTTGTCCGCAGTGAAGTTCAGCCGGTGTCTTTTTTTTATTTTTTTTATTCGGGCTACTTAAATTAATTTTGGGCTACCAAAATCTGAAGAATGTCTGCCCGAAGGGCTACCAGCGATTTAGAAATTTTTCAAGCCCTGTTTATTCTTAATATACGTCATAACCATTTTAGAAATCACTATCTATAGCCATCTTCAATGCATTTTTACAACTTTGAACTGCTTTTTTAAATGCAGCTATGGTTGACGTGTAAAAAGTCAACCATAGCTGCATATGTTAGCTGCAAATGTCAACCATATTGACAAATTTTACCAATATAAATATTTTTACTGCTGTTTCAGTTTTATATCCAAGTTTATGAAAAGGAACATAATGTATTGTCACCTTTGCTTGTTCATTAGTGTTTCTGTTTATGCTACATTGTTCTTCATAAAACTGCTTAAACTTTGAATTGAATAGTGTGCAAACATTGAAAAGTGCCTAAAATTTCTAAAATATTCCCTGGCCTTTTGTTTTCAAGCAGTCTAAATGCACACGCTCATGTTAGCCTACATCAAATGTACTCATAATTTCTCATTTTCGTTTTGTCTAATTCATTGTTACATTTCTTTGTGGTTTCTTTTCCTCTGACTGTACAAAGATTCAGTGATGCAGAGAATTACTCTTTACTGAAATTATTCACAATTATGTCCTCAAACGAGACTCACTCACACTCACTCACTCACTCACTCACTCTCTCACACACACACACACACACACACAGACACACACTCACTCACACACACACACTCACAGTCACACACTCACTCACTCACTCTCTCACACACACACACACACACACACA